ATGGCTTTTGAACTTTAAATCACTTTCTTTCATAAGAATCTCTTAAATGCTAGAAGATATACGCAAATTGTATGTTGGAAGGAATTTTAGCTTAAAAAATAAAATAAAATTGCCTCTGAAAGCATAATATACAGATATGGTCTTGCATTGCCATGTCTGTGGTATGTCATCTTGAAAATATAGGAACTGTCTGTTGTCAGGAATTTTTCCTTATTTAAAGGAACTACTTGAAATTTTTCTTAATTAAATGCTGGGGTGTTTTTTTCTTCTCAGTAATGAGCTTCAGCTGAAAGAGGAACTTAGAAAATGGAAAGAAAGAGCACTAAAATTGAAAGAACGATCCTCAAGAGAGACCATTCAAGAGACAGTACCAAGGTCTCCAAGGAAGACAGTGTCATATTCCCTTAAAGAGCAAATGCCTTCACCCTGTAAGGAACCTATTTCTCAGGAAATTGTGACTCGGGACTTATCAAAGCCTCTGCCACTGACTTGCCCAACAAATTTCTTTGATAATTCCAGCTTGGGTACACTAACAGGTATGTAACATAGTGGTGTTGTCCTATAAAGATTTGGAAAGGCAAAATATAAGGGGTGGTCTGTGAGTTGAGGGTAAATGCTCTACTTTCTATATTCGGACCTGAAACTTGCATGATAACACAATTTTCCTGAGTGGTTAGTCAGCTGACTGTTGAAGGGCCGACCAGCTGGAGCTGGGAAGCTTATATATGCTCTACAGAACCTAAATATTTAAGTGAATCCTTCACCCCCTGAAGATTATACCATTTTTATTATTTTTTTTCTTTTGCTGTAGTGGAAGTGTTGATGACTGACTTAAAGTGAATTAGCAGAATATCATTACTAGATATATCATTACTAGATAGCTGATGCTCTAAAATGTTTTGCTTTTTAACTTTACATTGGTTAAGCACAGGCTTCTGGCAAAGCTACTCAAAGTTAACTGCTGGTTAACTTTTTTCTAAACTTCTTCAAGACAGTAGACTTCAGTCTTTGATGTTGAATCTGTCAGTCTGCCTGGCTCCAGCTGCAGTAATAACTGTTTTAATAACTTCTGTTCATCAGTCCTACTCAGGACTTCTTGTATCTGGCTGGGTGACTTCTGGGGAGTCTCTTAGTGATCTATGCTAGCATATTAATGCTACTGCCTTCATCATTACACTTGCTTCTAAAAACTTTCAGAAGGTCCCAGCAGACGTGTTGAAGAGTTAACCAGTTTTCAAGGCATTAATGGCAGACTTCCAGAAAGAATATGACTCATTGCAGTTTCTTGTGATGGCCAGCTTGGTAATAGTACAGACTTCCTCACAACACAAAGCTCCTCAGAGGCAAGCTTTGATAGTTGACATTTAAAACAGTAGTCAAGATTAAATTGCTGTATTCCTACTGCTTGTCTAATGGGGAAAGTTTAAGTGTTACTTTAACGTTCTTGTCTTCTCTGTAGATACACGACCTGCAGGAATAGAGCCTACAGAAGAACATCTTAAGCACTGGTTTGGAACTTCAGAGAAAGATAAGGCCCCTGATTGTACCACCCAATAAAGGTGCTCTGTTGTAAGCTGCCTTTGCAGTGGCTACAGCCAGAATCTGCATATGCAAAAGATAATTGCTTCAGGTCAAAAGCCATCAGCCTCTCCCGCAAATTGTGAGAAGAGCTCTGGTGGCATGCAAATCCCTTGCTGTCTTGGAGTTGCTGCTTCCCACAACTGGGAAAGCTGGAATACAAGAACAAAAATGGAAAAGCAGTCATGTTGCCCACAACCTGCTGATCTGATGGTATTCTACTTTGGTGGGTTTTGTTTTTTTTGGATGGCAAAGAAAGAAAAGCCAATGTATTGAAGAAAAAAATGGAAACAGGAATGAATCACAAACTGATCTACTGTGAAACTTTACAATCTTAAACTTTTCATTCTGTCATTCCTAAAACAGCCCTGTTCTGCGTGGTCAATATTTGTATCTTCAGAGTGTTGTTGAGTTAGAAAGAACTATACTTTTTGTTTCTCAGCATACGGTTTTTATACCATGCTTTCTCTAAGTCTGCAGAAACTGCGTTTTCACCACAATTTTAACCTCTTTCTGGACATTGCAACTGAAGTTAACTAACTTTCTGTTTATAGGGCACACAATCAAGGATTCCTCTTAAACTCCTTACAATATTTCTGCAGCTCAGCCAATTATGGTACCAAGAGTAACTTTGTATTTTGCATCTTCTTTCAATATACTTCTAGTTCCTGTCTGAAGTTGGGTATTGAAATTTTTTTAATAGTAAGCAATGGACATGACACTTTTCTGCTACTCTAGTGAATGGAAAATGAACTGGATGATCAGGGCTCCAAGACGGAACTATTTTACTAGCCTGCTTATCTGCACTGTGAGACCTACTTTTTTGTATGTTTTGTATAAGAAGGTTTGTTTGACAATAAACTTAATGTGTTAAGTGTTTAAAAATATTTTTGCTGGTCACTTCGCTTGTGCTATTATCTAAGGATATTGGTTACAATATTCAGTGTCTAAAGACTATCTTTTATAGTAATCTCACCACTTTCATCATTATTATGCTTCTTGTCTGTGTCCTCTGTAACTTTCTGCAATCATTTCTTTGTGCAGAAGTTTAGTGTTGCACAAATCTGTCACCAGTGTTTTGTTTAAATCTTCTAATCGACTCTTTCTCTGTCAGGAAATGCTTGAAGTCTAAAAGAGAGATCTTCCTCCCTTTCCTCCCCACATGCCCTCCACTGCCAACTATATAGGAATTTGGCACTCAAAACCTGAGATCAACTCTGTTAAGAATGAAATCATCATCATAAGATGAGAAAGTCATACCTAAGCAAGATAACTGCATCAAAAGCATCATCTGTATTTTATAGGAACAAAGGTCTCAATGATGCTAGGTCTCTTAAGTACTCCCTTTTGGGTTACCCAAACTGATAAGCAAATGGTTACATTGACATGTTCCTGAGCATTCAGCAGTTACTGGAATTGGAGGAATCGCACAAGTGTCGCTTACTTGATGGAGGTACTTCAGAGATCTTTAATAAAGAACTGACTGTTTACCTTGAATAGCTGAAAATTCTGCCAACTACTGTAACTACTAAGAAACCGCAAACGTTTATCTCTAAATCTCTGACCTGGAATGTATTTTGGGAAACTTTTAAAGATACTGCTAGCCAAAAATACACAGGTTCTGAATACCGTTACCGAGTTCAGCGCTGCACTGTCTCCTTTCCTGCCACAGCTATGTAGGAGCAATTTATTTCCTTATAGTGATAAGTGCAAAGCACTGGTGTTTGTGGTGGGTTTTTTTGTTTTTTTTGGTGTTGGGGGGGGGGGGTCGTTTTGGGTTTGTTTGTTTTTTCAATTTCCTACTATGGTTGAAAAATATTTCCTTTGGCTGCCAGCTTTTTTTTCATTCCCTCCATTTTGGTGTTCTAATAAATGAGTTAAACTGACCCTTCCAGAAGGGGCAAAGAAGATGTATATATAGATGTACCTCTTTTATATACAATTTCAAGGAGGGGGGTTGTTAATTATTGCTTGCTTGGAACACTTTTACATTTGGAGATTTTTCTGGTGGTTCATCTGAAAAACCAGAACCTATTGCAACAGGTCTGTGTTTGAATTCAGTAGGCAAAAGGTTAGGGGTGGAAGGATAAGTGCTTTTAGAAAACCTAGTCATTAAAGAGTTTGTTTACTGGGAAGCGGATTTACAAAGCCTTAGAAAGCTATCATAGTTTAGCGGAAAGACAAGATACACAAAGTTCAGTAATGTTGTTTATGTGTGTCGCAATTTACCCACAGAAATGGCTTTTATGAGGTAAATGTGCCCAGCTGAAGTTCAGGCAGGACTCCAAATTCTTTAAGAATGTGTCCTGGTTTCAGCTGGGATAGAGTTAACTGTCCTCCTAGTAGCTGGTACAGTGCTATGTTTTGAGTTCAGTATGTGAAGAATGTTGATAACACTGATGTTTTCAGTTGTTGCTCAGTAGTGTTTAGACTAGAGTCAAGGATTTTTCAGCTTCTCATGCCCAGCCAGGGCACCTGACCCAAACTGGCCAACAGTGTATTCCATACCATGGGACGTCCCATCTAGTTTAGGAGCTGGGAAGTGGGGGGCAGGGATTCGCCGCTCGGGGACTGGCTGGGTGTCGGTCGGCGGGTGGTGAGCAACTGCCCTGCGCATCATTTGTACACTTCAGTCTTTTTATTACTACTGTTGTCATTTTATTAGTGTTATTATCATTATCATTATTAGTTTCTTCTTTTCTGTTCTATTAAATCGTTCTTATCTCAACCCAGGAGTTTTACTTCTTTTCCTGATTTTCTCCCCCATCCCACTGGATGGGGGGGAAGTGAGTGAGCGGCTGCGTGGTGCTTAGTTGCTGGCTGGGGGTTAAACCACAACAATATCTGAAAGTCTTCAGCTCTGAGTGATGATATTAGGCAAGGATAAGAGCAAGATTTGAGAACAGCTGCAAGTGCTTTTTAACAATATATGGTTGGTACTGTGTGTACTTTTAATCCAAAGTCTCTGCTGCTTTGTTCTGGGAGAAGATAAGGATGATAGAGGGAATATTTCTGTTATAAGGCTGGATACGGCAAAGTTCCCCTATAGTAAACCCAAGATATTTTATCTACACTAATAGCTGATGTAACCAAGTCTACGTGATACTAACAGCACAGCTACAATGCTGTTCACAATGAGCAACTGTGAGAAATCCTTTACAAATTTTATTTCACTACTGTTAAACAGTACTTCAACATATGTATTAACTTTCTGGTTATCTTTTAATTCCTTTTGAGCAGTTCTTCCCCTGCCACTTCCTTCTTCACTAGCAGATAGAGGAACTAGTAATCTCAGTATCTCTGTAACATAATCAACAAGCTAGGAAAAGCTCCTGTAAGTAAGATTTTTGCCAGACCAGTTAGTTTCTCATGCATGCAGTTAAGAATGCAGAAGACTGCTGATCTATCACTTACATTAAAACACTCAGTCCAAGGAGCAGGTAATTTTCCTGATGATTTCACTTTGTGAATGCCCAACAAGCTACAAAAAGCTGGCATGTTTAATGCCACTATCCTCTTAAGGTGCACTTGAGACACTTATTTTGAAGATGAGGGGCTACAGTCTGAGATGTCAGAATACTTTTGACTTGGAGGTTACTTTGTTAGCATAGCTGTTAATGTATCAGTAATCTCAATGCAGAGAAAGCTGGTTTTGAGGGGAACATCAAGAATCAAGAAATATCTCTGGTCAAGTATCAAAGAAAAGTCATGCTGCTTTTAATACTGCTCTAGTCCAATGATTTGGATGCAAAGGATTTTTATAAAGTTTATATACCATCATTCCTTTTTTATGACTTGTGCTTTTACCTGTCAAATCCCATAACTTCATTTAAATCCAACAATACAGACAATTCTAGCCCTATGTGTTTGTAATGTGCTTGCTAGTGCACGTGCAGCTAATAGGGGCAATAATAATTGTTGTCTTAGTCTGGTTATTGTTCTTATATTTTATTTATGGATTCCTTACTTTAAGGAAAAGATCTTAAATCTGTGTTATATCATGTATAGTTACTTAGTAGTCTGCAGGGTGTGTGGTAATTGACGTCCATTACTCCCTGACATGCCCAGAATGAAAAGTGAGAGATCAGTTGCCTTCAGCCAACTTTTATTTCAAGTCAAAAAGGAAATGAGAAGAAAACAGATTTTAGTTCTGGTAAGATCTGGCATATCTAAATGTAAACTAATTCTCTTATTTGTATTCTTCAGGCTTTTGCTAAAGAAGGAGCCAAGGTCATTGCTACAGACATTAATGAGTCTAAGCTGCAAGAACTGGAGAAATATCCAGGTAATTGACCTACAGTAGGTATTACTTCAGATCTTGCAAGTTTTGTTGTAGACTGGCTGAAATATACTTTGAGGATAGGGCAAACTTCAAAAGGTCAGAAAAAATGGAAAATATCCAGGCTAATTCTTCAGATGTTGGCATTGCTTTATTCTGTGGTGTGGAATGGCAGAGGTTGCAGTATTTTACATGCTAAATATCAGCATATCAGACTATTGTTCCAGGCATGTGGAATAACTTTGAGTTTCTCATGTCACAGAAGCAGTTGATTTCTGCTTCCCAGGATGGCACCCTTTTCGGTTACATTTTGAGATCACTAGGCTAATTGTCAAACACATCACTCTAAAAGGCAAGGAATGCTTTTCTCTGATCACAAGAACTTTCATGCAGCTATACGAAAAGTAGATTTAGTGTCTTGCATTTCTATGGTCCATACTTACTAAGGAATGCGTTAAAAGGATAGCTGTCTAGTAGAATTCCTATGTCTTCAGAAACTAATTTCACCAACACTAGAAAAGCCTATTCTGTTTGTAGAAATGCTCAGGCCTGAAGGTTGCTTTTCTACCAATATCACAGGAACACACTTTAAGGAGCAGGTTTTGCATAGCTGTGTTTCTTAATCACAGGTGACACAAGGGTGGGACATTATATTAAAAAAATATTTTTTAAATCTTGAAATAAAAAATAAGACTTGGATATATTTTACAACTGAAAATGCTTACAACTTAATTTGATGGAAGGAAGTGGATTTAATTAATTCCTATTCAGGGTGACAGTCAAATATGCAAAAACACTTTTCCCTGGCACAGCTTTTGGAGTAAACATCGGTCTCTACTGACTGGAGTTCACCACAAGCAATCCCTTTGTAATTCTTTAGGAACTTTTAGGACTTTACAGGTTCATTCTGAGGGTATTTAGGAAAGTGTTGCTTTTTGAACTGTGCTTTTTTTTCCCTTTCTGCTAGTGTTCACAAGGAAAGAGGTAATTTTCCATATACTCAGAGCCATTTCCATCCTTTTGACATCTGATTAGTTAAGCTATAATTCATTAAGGCTTGGCACATTGTGGTCTTTGAATTTTATCCAGCAGAGGTAATTCCAGTGCTGATGTTAATCACCAGCCTGTAGTCTAATTGCATCATTATACACCAATCTCTTCAAAAGTGTCTATATCGTTTAACTGAGGCATATAAAGCCTGTTCATGGACTTGTCAGTTTGGCTTCCAAATCACATTCTCCCATAATTTAGATATCACTCAGATGCTTTACAGGCAGCTTTACAGTATTTCATAGACTCATGTATGCTGGATGAGACCTCTGGAGGCCATTTAGTCCTGCCTACTGCTCAAAGTGGTTCTGGTTCCAGCAGGTTGCTCAAGGCTGTGTTGAGTCAAGTTCTGAATCTCTCCAAGGATGGAATTTCATCAACGACCTCTTTAGGCACCCATTCCAGTGCGACTGCCCTCATGATTTTAAAATGATAATGATATTTAAAAAGAAAAAAAAAAAAACCAAAGAAACAAAAAAAACCCCCAACACACTTTATATTCAGTCAGACTTTCCCATGTTCCAACTTCTTTCTGTTGCTTTTCATCTTTCCACTGTGGGCCTCTGAGAAGTCTGTCTCCATCTCCTCTACCATCGCTCAATAGGTAGTTGTAAACACTTATTAGACTGTGTGTCACTAGTTGCACACACATTGTGAAAAAACAAAAAACAAAACAAACAAAAAAAACAACCAACCAAAAACAAAAAAAACAACAAACAGAACAACCCTATGTTTTGGGGCACAGGTGTGTTCTGCACTAGATGTCCCTTCATCCTTGATGTAGGATATGCTGTGACCAGGCTGTGGCAAAAGGATGATCAGCAGCAAGTCTTAGTGCCCTGGGAGCCTAATTGTACCCACTAAGGAAAGTACTGGAGTACACCCTGACTCCTTTTCCACTCATCCTAGTTTCCTTTGGATGAAAAAGTTCATGTATTTGAGAAGGGGGCACAGCTCAATCTTTACATGCAGTATGGAACAAGGGTGCAGGCAAAGTGTATCACAAAGTATGCCTATTCCATAGTAAGGATTCAGCCTTGGCATGGGTGAGAGAAGCTAGCTGTGTTAGATTACTGGAAGCTACTCAAGTAAAATGAGATAAAATAACATGTAGATTGTATCGTATTTATATCATATCATATTACAGCTCATCTGGAAGAGTAGTTCTTTTACTTAGCTCTTTTCGCTTCTGGCTGGGGGAAGGCACGGCTGTGGTTGGCCCCAAAGCAATTCTGTTAGAGGGGCTGATTCTATTGAAAAGGGTTTGGAAGAGTTGAGCCTGACCCTGGTTTGCAGTAATTACGTTGCTCAATCTTTCAGAGATAGCTTCTCTGAACAAAACAGAAAGATTGTTTTGGTTTGGGGTTTGTTTTTTTTTTTTTGCTATCAGTGGATTTCTTGGAGGTATGGCACCCGCACAGCTAGTGCTATAAGCACTGACAGTGACAGCTGCCAGAGGCTGAAATACATGGAAGCTTATAGTGAAAAGCAACACATTTCCAGCCCTCTTTTGTTTGATTATAAACAAATAATTGCAGAAGTATGAGCATCGTATTTTTAACTAGCCTTCATGATAGAAGTCATCAATTTGTTACACTTCCTCTTCATTTCTATTATCATGGCTATGACATCTTTCCAGGTTATGTAAATTATTGGCTCATGCAAAATCACTTTTTCTCATTAAGTGGTATAAAGCTGATTCATCATATCCTCAACTACACATGGATAGATGGCATGTAATGTAATTGTGAGTATATGTGATACATGTAACTAGTTTCAAGTAATTATTATTCTCTAATAGTGGGCATGAAAGCTTGTTATGATTATACAGGCTCTGTAATTCTTCAGTTTGAGAGCACGGTGGAACTCAAATTTATTGGAAATGTTTTTATGGTAAATAACATTAGCTCATCTGCTTGTGTGATGCTGTAAGACAATCAAATCAGTTGATCTTTTGTTAATTCCTTTCTGAAATTTTAAATAGCATGCCATGCTGTCCATTGCTATCCTGATTTAACTATTACACTAATTTGATCATTAAGCGTAGCCCTCACTCAGTGAGTCTCCATGTCGTGGTGAACCACTGAGAGGAGACTGTTCCTGGCAAGCCACTGACTTGCATCGTAGATGCAGTCCTCAGCACTTCAGAACTATAAACTTCTGATCCTTAGCCAAATACACTGAAATTTAATTCCATGTTTTTCTAGGCATTCAAATACGAGTTCTGGATGTCACCAAAAAGGAGCAGATAGAAAATCTGGCCAAGGACATTGAAAGGATTGATGTCCTCTGTAATGTTGCAGGGTAACCAGCTTCTATTTGATCCTACTTCTTTTTCCAGGTTTCTCTGTCCTATAGAAGTAGTTTCTTTTACTTAATTGCATATTATTCCTTTTGTTTAATGCATTTTATATCTTTAATATAAATTTTCCTGTGTTTTCATCAACTCTGAACTTTTTGTGCCTAGCTGTGTTACTCAGGCCAAGATAGAATGGCTCTGGAATTTGTTTTCCACACTCTGTGGGTGCCCTATACTGATAGCTTTGGCCCTTCTGGCACAACAGTGAGCAAAGTTGATGGTCTGACAGTGCTCTATCTTTTTTTAATTTCCCTATTACCAAATATTTCTTTGCACGTATCAGGTCTGTCTTGTCTCCTTGATACTCATCAGAAGAAATATACTGTTGCTTACTTTCTTCAAAAGAGCTCTTGCCCATCCTTTTCAAAGTTGGAAGTGTTAGCTATTACAAAATAGCAATGGAAGAATGTGCATAAAAAGTCATAGAAATGTAAATCTAAGACAGTAATTCACTTCATGTGCTTACTCTAGGTTTGTTCATCATGGGACTATTCTGGACTGTGAAGAACAAGACTGGAACTTCACTATGAACCTTAACGTTCGCAGCATGTATCTAATGATCAAGACATTCCTTCCTAAGGTAAGGCTTGGTTGCCTATCACTTTTAGTCTGTGCTGCATTGTGTTTAAAGTGTGAGAGGTCTAAGTTATTGCCACTCTGACAGCATGGGCTTTGAGATAATGCAAGTATGCAGCTTTGGATAGGGGAGGCCCTTAGATTATAGTGATCCTACTCTAAAACATTCTCTGCATCGTGTAATCCTTCAAGTAGACAATCTATCTAAAGGATATGGTAGAGAAGATTAATTCAGGGGTTTTGCTCTGTGTAATTTGTAACTAAAATCCTTCAAATGCAGAGCAGTGAGGGAGCCATTGCAGTACAGTGCTACTGTATTATACTATAGCACACAACTGTATAATACCACTGCTACAAAATATTTATAAAATATGTATATTAATATGAATTTTATGCAAATCTGGAAACTATCTTGTGAAGCAATCAGTGCCCCTGATGCCAACATGCTGGTTATATCAGAACAACAATCCAACTGGATAGTCTAGCAGCTTGAGGACACTTGTGTTTGATGTAGTAACTAGGTTGGGGACTACAAAAATCTGTGGACTGAGCAAGGTGTTTGTACTCCTGTAAATGCAAAAACCAGAAGTGGAAGCTGTGACCATGACTGGATGATAACTACTCTTTTCAGTGTTGTTCCAGTCCTTTTTATTTTTTTGTTTGGTTTTGTTTGTTGATTGGGTTTTTTTCTTAGCTGATCTTCATTTTCACAGGTGCTTTATAATAACTTCAGGCATCTCAGGTTTTGAGATGCCTAAAAAGGTTATAACTTAAAGAAATTTAGCTACAATTCAAAGATGCTAGAGAGCTGTGTTTTAGTTTTCTCCAAAGCAATGGAGAAGTGAATTACTGCATTGGTAGATGGTATGAGCAGATGTCTATGTAGGGTAACTTACTGTGGTGACAAGAGGACAATGATCCAGAGGTGGCTATCTAGAAAAAAAATCCTTTCCTGTCATAGTCTTTGTCCCTGAGATGAACGAAGAGGACTTAGAGATAATTTCAGATTCTGCTTTACTACTTCAGTCAACAGATCAAAAAGAAATAAGCACCTCTTCATGCCAATTAAGCTTTGTTACCCTGCGTATCCATTGCATGTAGGGCTGTTCTGTGGGTTGTCATAGGCAAAACTATTTTGCTGGACCTGCAGATGACAAAATAGTTTGCATTTGAATGATATAAGTATTCTTTTGCAGATGCTTAAACAGAAATCTGGAAATATTATAAATATGTCTTCTGTGGCATCCAGCATTAAAGGTCAGTACCTTGCTAGAGAGTTCCTTATATAAATTTTTAAAATTGTGGGAATGCAAAATAAATATTTTACAACTTTAAATTTAGAGGACACTGCCAATCCTGTGGAGAGATGCAATTAAAAACAAAAGTGAACACATCAACTTGTACATACACGCAAGAACACAGATGGGAAATTGCAGAAACACTAAGATTCTTGCCTTTGAGCTTTTGAATCTGTGTCCTGAAAGTTTTGTAGCATCCTTTTTACGAGTTTGTATAAACTAAAAAAGAATTGCTTCCAGTGATATCTTGCTACATATGTTCTTCAGAGAAACAATGAAGAAATGATAATTACGTAAGCACTGTAGCTGTGTTTCCTGAGGAAGCCTGATGGTGACTTAACAGATGGGTCTGTGCTGTTCCTAAATCTTTGTTTGCTTTGTTAACTTTTCTAGACTACTCCCCAAACTTATACTATTGAAAGATTTTGTGCTTTGCTCTGGTGTTTGCCCGAGTAGAATTCTGGTAGTCGGCATTCTAGCTAGCCTGCCCTTATAGAGAGACTACAGGTGCTACAGGAAGTGCTAGAGTCCAGAAGCAGGTGCATCTTGAACAAATTTGGCTCTTTTTTTTTTTTTTTTTTTTTTTGTTTTAAATATGTTTCTACACTGCCTTCACACTGATCTTCTGTTAGGAGTTGTGAACAGATGTGTATATAGTACTTCAAAGGCAGCAGTTATTGGTCTAACAAAGTCTGTGGCTGCTGATTTCATTGAACAAGGCATCAGATGCAACTGTATATGTCCTGGTAAGTATTCTTACATTCTTTTGTAAACTAGGAGCAGGTGCTAGAAGGCCCCAGTTAGTTTGACATTAGTTGCCACTTGCAAGTCTATTCTTTGTTAATAAAGTTACCAGCAATCTAAAAGAACAGGACATGTTTGAAACATTTCTGAGACTTAAAATAGAAAAGTTGTTACTTTTGTAGTTAAGCTGTACCTTTAGTCTCTTGACCCAGCACGTGCACCTTGTATATGCATTACACAGTATTTGAATGCTTATTTTCAAAGATATAGTCTAGGAAGTTAGAAGCAGGCAAGGGCTAGCTAACAGGCTAGCCGTTGTTTAACCATCTAAAATGGATTGAATCTAATTCTCAGAAGTCTTGCCTTCTATTGAAATTTAGAATCCTATACTATTTTGCAGTCTTTCTCCTGAATCATTATGAAGTTACACATAAGTGTTAAAACATACAAATAGAACCAATGAACTGCATTTTTTTGTTGATTATTGATTCAGTTGATTTTTTTTAACACTGAATTTAAAATTTTGCTTAGGAACTGTTGACACACCATCTTTACAGGAAAGAATCCAAGCCCGGCCTAACCCAGAACAGGTGAGAAAGCAATTTATTAGTTTGATCATGTGTGTACGTAAGTTTAACTCCCTTTAAAAAAATAAAATAAATAAGTAGTGACACTTCTGCCCATAATCAGGCATGGCGCTTATTTCAGAGTACCAATGAAAACATAACAGCAGTGCCTGTTTTAATAGTTTGGTCAGTTTGTACTCAAGACAGAAGTCTTAATATGCCTCAGAAGGATACTATTGCTTAGTGAATACAGAGGGTATGTCATCTCTGGAAGTATTTGCAACCATTGGTTACAGTATCTAGTGCAAAAGTAGAAGACATTTTTTACTGTGGCACGTGGCAGGCACAAACTAGTGCAAAACCATGATAGAAAGGGCATTCTGGCCTATGCATTTCAAAATGATTTGGGATGCTTAACTATACTGACTAGATAATTATGAGCCCTCATTTGAAGGGCCTGGGAATATCTACCACCAAAGGAAGAAGGACTTGTGTTGGCTTTATTCTGGAACCAGAGATTTAGGTCCAGTCACCTACCTGGAGACCTGAAACTCATACCACTATTAATCTTCTAATTTCTTTTTACTCACATAAATTCCCAACTCAGTGTACTAAAGGAAGTTGTGACTTAGGGCCTGCTTCCAGTATTGCTTTGTACATATCCTACTAATTGGATTAAAATAATTGGGTTTTTATTTTTGATATACTAAATGTTCTTGTATATCTAGGCATTGAAAGACTTTCTAGCCAGACAGAAGACTGGTAGGATGGCTACTACTGAAGAAGTGGCCCATCTCTTTGTGTACTTGGCCTCTGATGAAGTAAGTGTGGAACAATAAAATTTCCTGTCACAGAATCCCATGCTACTTTGCCACTTCGCAATAAGGAGAATTTGTTTTAGGAGGATTTATATTGTCTTTGAGCTGGATTGTTACAAAAATTAAAAAAAATCTTTTACTGAGTTCAACCTACAATACAAAAAGTACTCTGAGTGTTGACAGTGACTGTTAAGACATTCTGTATCTGGTACCATAGCCTGGTGGTTTCACGTCATCTGAGCAATTTGACTGACCCCAGATCATCCTGAATGATAGGAGAAGTGGGCTTGTCTGCTTTTCCAAGTTTGCACCATGGCTAGATCATGTTTTAAGGCGGTAGAATTAGTAGACATCAGCTACCTTCACAATTTAAGAGCAAACATTTGCGTAGAACTCCTGAAGGTTTTAGCTAAAAGCACTAATGCTCACAGTGAATCTACCCTTTCAGCATAAGGAAGACAATAGACCCACTGAGTGTGTTATACACCAAACTCTTAATGACCACTGCACATACCACCAACACTAGTGAGTGCACATCAAGGTTATTTCAGATGCTGTAAATTTTACTATGATTCTAAAACTGGACTGGATTTCTCTCGACTTGTCCAGCAGTCCTACTGAGCATAACACAATACTTCAGCAGAATTAATTCAGTCTTAATGCTGCTATCTATCAGTAATTGTCTTCTCGCTTTCATCTTGGTTTTAGCATTTCTGTAAAGCTACTAATTTTTTCCAGTCTGGTCATAGGGTTTTCAACCATGTGTAGACAGAATTCCACTTTTCCAATGTATTCCAGTATGTTTCAGCACTGACATAGAGAAGAATGTCAACAGCTCGGTTGCTTACCTCACTATCTGCATGACCTAAATTTTCAGTTAGGTCCCCTTACAGTTATTGTCTGACCTGGTCAGATTCTGCTCAGCTGAACAGACCTAATAACATGATAGTGTGATGTATTGTTCCTGCAGGTAAGATATCTGAAGTCTGGTTTATGTGAATTTGTACGCTCAGGATGCATTCTCATCTTAATGCCTCTAATAATACTTTTGCTACACTCCCCTGAGTTAGCTGAAAGGCTTTCATTTCCAAGTTTGTTTATATTCTGTTTATTCAGATATTTTTGTAAAACAAAAAAAGTGTTTGTGTAAAAAGAAAGCATCTTTTTTAATTTAAAGAAAAAGTATTTCCCTGTAATTAATAGCCATGAAAAATTAGCTAAAATTATTGTTACTTGTTATGTAATTTCAGTCTGCCTATATGACTGGTAATGAACTAATCATTGATGGAGGATGGAGCTTGTGACTGACCCTACCTGCAAAAGGAAATTTCTACCATGAAAGGCAAAAAGTGAGCATCATCTTTCTCAGTTCAGACAGCTTGCAAAGATTCAGATCATGCACATGATGTCTTTCAAAACAAATTTGGTGCATTTTTACTGCTATATGATCTCTTTCTAGATTGATCTTACTGGTTCACTTTTCCCGAAGTAGTGCAACGCTGGAGTAAAGCATACTTCATGTGGCTTCAATTTATGGTAACTCCAAAAACATGAAAGAATAGCAATTTTATGTTTAAGATTTCAGAGGGCAAAGAATATTATTTAAGGTACAAAATATGACTTGTGTTTTAAGCAAATCTGAGTGAAAGGAATTAAATACTACCTTTATTCTCATCCTGCAAAGTATTTGGAAGCTAAATATTCACGATTACATTTCCTACTAGCATTGACAGACTATACAGAGAAAAAGGAGCAACTACTATTAAATCAGCCAAACGGATCCTGAACTAAGTGTGGTTTAAACAGAAGAAAGCAGAAATAATAGCAAATTTGAAGATTGTAATGTTTGAATCATTTTGTTACTGGTAATAGACGTTTCTATATTAGAGAACATACTAGTTGCAAATTGTACTTGAAAGCACGTTCTGCTTTGCAAATTACAAAGTAAGTCCTTTCCACTCTGTATAACTGTTAGTAAAATGTTTTGGAACTGTAATAGCTGTAGAAAAGCAGTCTGAATCATTGAAAAGAGTATGTCTCAAGCCTGACAACACTTAGAGGGCAGTGCAAGACAGTCAAACACTGTAGATGTGTGGTATATGAGCACATGAAACTTCCTGTGTATATAGCAAAGAATCAGTGTACATGCACAGCTGGTTTGTGCAACTGCAATGTCCATTTTCCAGATCCTGGGCAAGTTAAGCTTTTGGAATCTGGAAAAGCAGTAGCGCAAAAGGCAGGGCAACAGATTAGCATTGGAAGCAGTAGGATTTTTGTGGAGTTTGGGAGGGTTTTTTGTTTAAGCCCATAACCACTATAGACACTGTCTTCATGAAGCAGAAATGATGGAGAGGAGCCTGCTCTAATGGTTAAGACTAAAGCTTATACCATGTAGAGAGCACAGAGAATCACATGTAGTTTTATAATCAGTTAGAAAATGGGTACATTAACTTGTACAAATGAGGACCTAGTGGGAAGAAATAGAGACCAGAATTGTTTCACTAATGGTATAGATCACTGCTAAAATGATCTTGAAAGTATCATTACTATATCTTTTTTTTTTTCCTCCTTCCATGTACAGAAAGTACTGTGCAAGGACATCACACTGGCAGCCATGAACGGGAGTATATGTGGGAGAAATATTCTTAAATACATGGGTGGATCTTTGTGACTACACTTGAATTCTGGCACACAAGCAAAGGAGTGGATTTTACCACTCTATCTAGAGCCAATATATTCTTCTTCAAAAGGATGTACTAATATTAGACAAATACTGTCAAATCTATATGCTAGGTGCTAGGCTTTGGTACTCTATTGCTTGATTCTCAAATACCAATAGAGCACTTCATGCTAAAACACAAGGCTAAGTTTCTCTGAAAAGGACTGTTTCTACAAGAGTTTGTGTTGATATTTCTATTGTGATAGCACATGGTAGCTTGGATTTATGAATCAGAAACCTATTATCGTAAAGTCTTATACTCTGGAGAAAAGCATAGATCCTGACCAAGAGATCTAAAGCAATGAATAACCTGAATTCCAAAACTATTTGTTTTGCTAACATACTGTTAAAATTGACATGAATGACATGGGCTGACTGCCTAGAAATATGGTTACCTTAAAAAAATTGCACACAGCTCTATTTATCTAGTTTGTGAATGAAGCTGCATGTAATTTCATATATATTCATATATATTAAATACACATGTACATACATAAATGCTACTGAGTATGATTGATCAGTAATCAGAAAGCACAGGGAAAAATGTACAATATTTTGCGTGTTTCTGTAACAACAACTGTTATGTTTTAAAAATTATTGCTTAAGCTTTTCAATATTAGCTGAAGCATTAATATAAATTATTTTATTTCCAAGATAATGGAAAATGTCTAGTTAAGATCAGGCTTCTTATTTTGAAATTATAAGTAAATGTAACTTTTACAAATGAGAAAGTATTGTGGATGTTGGCTTCCTCAGGCCCATTATGGGTTTTAACTTTTACCTTTAATCATGGTTGGGGCATTCTGATCTTGTTTGTTTATGGGGTTTTTGAGTGTCTAGTATTTCAATAAAGTGACCATGGTGGCCAAGCAGGATCAAGTTAAGGCAGAAATCTGAAAGTCTCCAAAATGGCTTCACTGAAATAAATTCAAATGTTAGAAGTTCAGGCTGACAGGATACTGTTTCAATGATTTCAGACTTTAATATGAAGGCCAAAGTCCTTCCTCTGCAGTAGGTGTAGAAGGCCTACCTTGAGAAGAGAATCTCCCCACTGCAGTAACATCAGAAACTTGCACTGTGTATTCTGAAAATATAACTTAGAATCTGAGAGAAAATCCATTATACTTATTGCATATTGAACTTTACTAGTTAACATTTCTAAGCTCACTGGTGATTGAAATATACAGATGCTACTCAGAAATAGCTTTTCTTATCAAAGCACTCCTGCAAGAAAAGGAGATATCATCTGCTTTTTGCATAGCACTAAAAGCACAGAGATAGGGATTTTTCAGTGGCAGTCGGTGGAAATCAGTGGAGATTGCTGTCTCTTACCTAATTAGCAATGCTTTTCATGGATGTGTTAACAGCTACAATTCTGAAATGTGTTCTAATGTCTAGGGGTTTTCCAGCAGACTTGCTGGGATTATTAGAGGAGAATGCTTCTTAATGCTCTTGTGACCTCTTAATTCCCTGGTCTGCTTTTAAAAGAGCCGGGTAATTCTGTTTGTTTTCCTTCCACCCCAGTGATAATACAAAGAGGAGGTTTTTGACTTTTTAGATTCTAGGTCAAACTTTTCTCTTGTGGGGGAGGGGGAAAGAGACTTCCCTGATTCAAAGTCCTTCTGGGAAATTTAACCTGATCAGAAAACAGTGCGCTTTTCTCTCAGATTTGTAGTCAGCTTAATTCTGTGTAATGCTACTAGGAGCAAAGTAGCAACACACTGCATTTGGATCTGCTTTCATGTGCACCCAGTGTAGCTTGCAAAATGAGGTTGGGAGAGGTCTGTCTTGTACCCTCATGTGCACTTACAGATGAGGTGGACAGAGGTAGAAGTGTCTTCATGGGAACACCACAAATATGCAAGTTTTGTTTTGTTTATTTGTTTGTTTTTTAATTCTCCTGCCTGCCGCAATGCAATTCTTCTGCATGCACCCAGAGCAGAATCATCTAGAGCCCGTTACCCTTTCTTTGCACCCACCCTCCCACAGTCTGAGTAAGAGGATTGTGTGTAGCTTCCCCACGTCCCTTCCCACAGCCACGGGAAAGGCCGCGTAGAAAGCAACCCGCCTCACGGGTGCAGCTTGCGATGAAATGACATGGGGAGCGGAGGGCTGGCGTTGGGAGACACAAAAATCTGCTTCCTTCTCCCTCCTCCTCCTCTTCCTCCTGGCTGCTGTGGGCTGCGGGCCGGTGCATTGCTCAGACCAACCCGAGGCCCCTCTGCCAGCTGGGGCGATAGCCACCCCTCGCCTGCCCGGCAGGGACCCCTTCACATTGCCAGGAAACACGAAGGCATCCGGGAAGCCCTTTCAGTCTTCCCAAGCCCCAGAGAGAGGTTTTTGCTGCTGGTCGACCTGAAGCTGTGGCTTTGGAGGAGGGACCGTGGCACCAGCAGCAACAGCAGGGGAGGAGGAGCAAGAGCTGGCACAGAGCTGCTGCTCCTCCTGCTCCTGCTGCTTGCAGGGACTGGATTACCACCTCCTCAGCACGGAGATGTGGGACTAGCCGGGCAGGAGAGGCCTCAGAGAAAGCGGTTCCTCCCCTCCGATCCCTGCCGTTCCCCAGGTAAGTTTTCTTCCCGGATTTGCAGGTGGGAAGCTGCTGGGGAGGCGGGGAAGGAGGTTGCATCAGGCTTTACTCACGTCTTTCAGTGGATGGTGATGCGTGGTTTGGGCTGGGGGTTTAGTGGGGTTTTTGTTGGGGGTTTTTTGGGGTTTTTTTTGTTAGGGTTTTTTTTCTGCATGTTTGTTGCTCTGGTGGTGGCTGTGGTATTTTATTTGTATCCCTCTCTGTATGGTGTGTGCGCAAAGCCAGAATGTCGGCAGTCACCAAGGCGATACAGCTAATGACATAGGCATGCACATGCTGCCCCTGTCAGTCATCTCTTCAGTTCAGCTCTCCCTCCCCTTCTTCCTCCCTAACAGTTAAACGGAAGTAAAATGAGAGGGTCTAATAAAAACCTTTTTTGTTTCAAAATAAGGGAAGTATATTTTACAGGGTGGTACTGAAATAAGTCTGTTATTGGCTGGTTTCCATGTTACAGGTCTTAACCCTGTGGTATGAATTCTGCTCCAATTTCTCAATCGCTGATTTTGTTTGTATAGGGGGTGAAGCTTAAAAAAACAAAACAAACCCACAAAACAAACAAACAAATACCATGAACCCAAAAAACCCCCACCCTGGTGTGGGTAAACTGACTACTCGCTTTGGTCTCATTAATGCAAGTGGCTGTTGCTTGAAAGTAGCAGTACCGAGAACCTGACAGCATGAAGACCTGTCACAAACCAGGTAAGGACAGTACATCCACTATCAGACTCCTCATTCACACCTTGAAACCATTCCTGCTAAGCAGAACATCCAAGCTCCTTGCTTAGTCAATCTATCCTTTCCTGTACACTACTGTGAACAATGCATTAGGGAGCTGAAGCTGTTGTGAGGTAGATTTGGGCTTCTCAGAAGTATTAACATATTTGGTGTCAACAGCTACATGACCCCGAGAACTGGGATGTTGCCCATGCAAAGCTGGATGGAGAGCAATATCCTTCTGTCCTTTACCCACATGCACCCCTTTCAGAATTACAAAATTAAGTACATATACCC